TGGGAGAGTCTCACAGCACTCACTCGCACTGTGCATTTAGGACGGATCTATTGTTCCTTGATTCCTCAAGGCCAGGAAGAGAATTTTTCCAGGTCTAGTGATAAATACATATGTTACTTCCATAGAAAGCCAGAATAGAAAATTAAAATTTGAATTTTCACTTGAAATATTTACTGATATGATTCTTATTTTTAAGAAAGAAAATAACTTGGAATTAGGAGGATTCTACAACTCAGTACTTTGTCACAACCTCAAAAGATTGGCTCAATGTAATAATATAACTAAAATTAACCCACTGAATGGAAAATAGAGCTCCTTATTATATAGCAAATTGAGGCATAATTTTATGTGCGAAGTAGGTTACTGTAAACACGTTGGATTCTATCAAGGAACCCATGGTAGAACAAGGAGCAATCAGTGGCTGCATAAGGTACCAGGTCACGTTAGTAAGAGATAAGGGGTCCAACAGGGAGAGGTTGAGCACATTTCTCATTAGTTTTCATTTTACTTTCAGTGGATGCCTCTAGAATGAGAAAGTTGACATGTGAAAAGTAGCAATTTAGAAAGTTAAATTTGGTGAGTTGGTAAGACAGATGGGAGCAGGGAGAGATAAATTACATACAACTCCCTTCTTAGAGAGGTGATTTTTTTTCCTTTCTCATTCCCATTAAATCAGATAACTACTTTGTTTCCCTTTAATCATATAAATACTGTTCACTTTATGCTACTTGAATTGTTACCTGCAGTATTTGCTTTAAAAGTAATTCTAAAACTTTTTTTTTTACTCTTTTTCATGTTGCTTTAAAAGTAATTCTGGTGTTATTTTCTTCAATCTGTTTTCTCTCCCTGAATAGATTGTGCCTTTTGTGCATTGTGACCATTCTGTAATATTATGAGAATAGATGATGACACAATGAAACATTTTATTCATTCCCTCAACTATCTTGTAACAATTTTCACCACAGCAATGTACAAAGACACAGGTGCCCTCCTTTGAAATGAGCTTGGAAAATCTTCCTTTATTCAGTGGCAGGGGGTAAAAGATAAACAACCAACACAATCATTTCAATAACTATGAAAATTAATTGCTAAACCACATTTAGCATATTATCCTCTCGGCTTTTTTACTGAAGACAGATTTTAAGACTAGCATCTAAAACCAGCTACTCTGGCCTCCTGCCCTTTCTTCCTACCCCCGGGGCTTAACGTCATATTTTTTAAACTGCCTGTTGTTGAGCTGTTTTCCTTAATATCTGTCACGCGTATCTGACTGACAGATTTGTTGAACATACGCACAAGAGGCCTGCATGCAGGCCCGATCGGCTTCAAAGGCTTGTTTCTTCCTTCAGAGGAGCCAGGTGAATACTTGTTCTGAAAGAAGCAGGGGAGTTCCAGCCCTGACAAACCGGGGGCAGGCCGAGGCTGGGCCACCCGGCACCCCGGAGGCCTGGCTGACTTGCTGGCCCCATGCCCGCAAGATGGAGAAGCCCGGTCCTGAACGCCAGCCTGCCACGCTGCGTGTCTGTCAGTGTGGGCACTGTAGCGGAAGCGCGTTTGGAAGCAAAGAAAATGTAGTGGCAAATCAAAGCAGAGTCGAAGGGGTGGCTGTGCTGGGGGAAGGAAGAAGCCATGGTTGTGCCTGTACTTTTGCAAAGACATAAACAGTCACCAGTTTGCAAGAGTCTTAATCCTTGAGGACAGGAGCAGGCCGTGTTGTTTGGCGGAGTTTACCTGATGGGGAAGTGATTGTGCAGCTTCCTAACTGCAAGTCACAGTGGGTTTGGTGATGACCGAATAAGGTACAAAACCAGCTGTTCTGTTTATCTTTTGAGCAGTCTGAAATTGCTATTTTACCAGTGATCAAATGAGTAAGAAATTGTTTTTAATGTGTCTACAAATTGAGATAATAGTTTGCCATTGATATCATCTGGCTGAATTTCCAATATATAGGCATGGATTGACCTTGTAAATGAATAGTGGAATTTATATAACTGCTGCTAAATTTTCACCTCTGACTACCACATTTCTGTAGCTCGACTCTAAATCAGGAAAACTGAAACCAATGTGATCTTTTACCATGATGACATAAAAATGATGTTATCTTGAAACCATCTATTTCTTTCTGCATTGAGTTGGGGGTATAATAAGCTTAGGTAATAAAAAGAAATATATCTTCTGTATTGGGGAGTATAGTCCTTATTAACGTCGTAGTATTTAGCAAATGAATCACAAAAATTCAGGACATATAATGGATGTCTAAGGTCATCATCACTGAATATTAGCTAATTACATAAATGATTTTCTCCAGAGTTTTAACAATAACAAGAATTGGATTATAGAGATACTGTTTCTCATGAAGAACAGAATAGCTGTTCCTTATCTAATCATGGAAAAAATTATCTTGCACAATAATAAAATTGACTGAATATTTCATTGGATATTTAAAATGATATGGCTTTTTAAAATTTGTGATTTCTTCAACACTTCTGAAATTAACAGAAGGTCCATATTTTGAAGAATAAGACAAGCATGCATAATTGCTTACTAAAAATTACTACTTCAAACTGCTTACAGTGGCGCAGGAGAATCAAGAGTTCAAGGCCAGCCTGGGAAACATAGATAGACTCAGTCTCAGAAAAAAACTCAAAAGGGCTGGGGATGTACCTCAGTAGCAGAACACTGGCCCAGCATCCATGGATTCAACCCCTAGTACTGAAAAAACAAAAACAAAGCAGAAAAAGGAGAAAAAGGAGAAGGGAGAGGAGGAGGCAAGAGGAAGAAGGAAGGAGAGAGAGATGTGCGATCACTTTCACGTCATGTTGAACACTACTTTTTATTTTTGTAAATATTGTTATCTACCCTAAATTAATGATGAAACAATTATAAATTTTTATGCTGATTGTTTAAATGTTTTTCTTGGAGTTCAGTAAAACCTTGGAGATTTCTAGTAACAATCATATTAAACACTTATGTCAAAGTTTAAAATATACTCAAACTTCAGTAAACACTACTTTTCACAAGCTGAATTCTCTATTAAAGATATTATCAGGTTTTAGGTAAGGTGGGTTCCCACTGAAATAATATGTTCTTCTTGAAGTGGACTGGGGACATTGATCCTGCAAAAATCATCATGTCCAGATATCCATGTTGCTTGATTTTATTTAAAAACATTCCAAACCGACTATGCCTATTTTTGTATATCTTCAAAAGTAAAACAAAAATCAACTTGAAAGAACAATGGATATTCCCTTCTATTTATTTAAAGGCCATTACTAGGTAAATATGTAAAACTATTTAAATAGATACATTTGATACTGTAAATCTATTGTGAGTTATTTGCCACAATTGAATTTAGCATGCAGCTTTTTTAGACATAGGTACGATTTCTGAGAAATACTCAGGGTGATTATTTCTGACTAGATTGAAAGCTTACATTTGTATTATGGTATAAATTAGTTATAAATTTTGTTTTATTGTATTCAGTTGCATTGTTTTCATCAGGCAATTTATCATATGGGTGTATGTGAAATTTCTACATTTATTAAATTTCAGATTATGTGTTTCACCCTGAGCAAGACTTAAACATTTTTCCATAAGTAAGAGCTTCAAGTAAACAAGCAATTTTAGTCCTGAAAATAGCTTCTGCTTCTGTCAACACGTTGTTTATTTTTTCTCTGAGATAAAAAGTTCAGTTTTTCTGATATTTGTACCAAGATAAAGTCAGTAAACAAGATTAATATAGTGTGGAAAAGGTTGTCAGCAGCCCCAGCAAAGGAAATAAGTTGCCTGTACATAGAGCATACTGTAAACTGAATAAAAGTGTCAGGTCCACCATGAGATAATGTGATCATGAACCTCTAACAAAGCATGACATAGACTCAGTCGGCTTTTCTCATAGCCACGGTGTAGAAAATGGATTACTGTGTTCCTGGGATACCTGCTGGAATAGCATGGAAACGCATTCCAAGATGAATGCAGGATTCCGTCCTGGATGGAGCCGAGTTTACCTGCAGAGCTCCGGCCGGAGGCTCATGAATGTCATCACCCGTGCACCTCTGCAGTCTTCCAGCTTCCTGGAATTCCAGAGTATGTGCTGGCGACCATGCTACCCAGAGCAACACAGGAAGAAACAAGTTTTTGGAAATGTTTCCCTTAGAGGCATTTTACTGCCTCTTTGTTATTCCAGTCTATAGAAATGGCACCAGTACAATTAAAGACTGGTCCTTTTTGTTTTATTTTACTTAAAGTCTGTTGAGGTAGGTTTTGGCTTTGTCATCTGAGATGGTGACTTAGTGGTGCCCAGTGCTGTGTTTTGTCCCCTTGGAGAAAACCTCTCTGTAAGATAGGAATGTTGTCAGATTCTTTAAAAATAAAAGCAGCATGTATTATCAGGAACTACTTGAAATATTCTTCATCAGGTTTCTAATTTTATTTAGAAAAGAAGGAGTAAAATCTTGTTCTCTTTGGTGAAGTTAGATTTCTTTCTTTGTACATAAACAGATACTTACTAAGTTTGTGGAGAAACTATGCAAAGGGCTATTCAGCATCTCCTTGACCTAAGTTCTTGTATGCATTGAAATTTGTACCTTGTAATACATACTGTGTATATACAGAAATTACCTGCAATACATTGTCTTATGGAAATATCCTCTGCTCAACCATGATCTGTGAAATGAAGCCTTATTTTCATGTAAAATTAGATATATGTGCAGAATTTGAAAATAAGAATCACTGGGCTGTTTCTTAAAAATGATGTTTACACTGTTGTAAAGATGCTTTCATATTAGTCTTTAAATTCTAGCAGAGTAACTGAGCTGGACCAGAAAGACCATTCATATCAGGAATTAAATTTTACTGTTGGTCGGTGCAGTTTTGTCCTGGATTTAAGAATTAATGCAGTTTCTCCATTTTTAGAGTGATGTCCTCGAATAGAGATGCCCCATTGTCCACTGTGTTTCTGAAAACCAGTCTGATTGTTTTCTGTCTTAAATCTCCTCCAGGTGCCCACTGCGGGCCCGGTCAGCAACAAGAGGATGGTCCACTTCTCCCCGGACTCACATCACCACGAGTGAGTACTCCTCGCTGTGATGTGTAATTTTGTTGGGTATTCTCCTTATTTCTTTAGGGAAATTGGTAGCTATTGTTAATAAAGGTAGTTTAATTTGTACTATCTTTTAAGAGTAAATCGTATGCCAATGTTAATCATGCGAGAGCAACTTGCATAAAGATTTTTTTGGTTTTGTGGTTTTGAGTTTTGGTTGTTTTGCTTTGTTTTGTTTTGTTTTTAAGATGAGATCGTTCCAAGAGTTTCCCAGGTTGGCTTCAAACTTCCAATCTTTCTCTCACAGCTTCTCAGTAGCTGGGCTACAGGCTTGTGTGCCACTGTACTTGGCTAAGATTGTTAAATACATTCTCTTATTTGGGATAGAGTTTGAAATTCATGCATTATTGAATTTTGTGTATTATCTGAAAACACTTAAATTTTTATAACATTGAGTAGTGTCAGGCTTCTCCTTACATACCCACTCTCTCCCTGTCCCTGCCCCAGTCCCAACCCTTCACCCTGAAGAGAGAGTCTGGTTTCTGCAAAATTTCTCTCCTCTGTGGTCCTGCCTGCACTTGGTTTTATTAGTAAAGAGCTGTGAAAGTACCTGGATGTATTTCTTTTTAGCAACCAAAAGAAGTGACTACTAGGTAATTTTTTAAAGATAGGCAGTTTAACCTTGACCTTGGTAAATTACTAGTGGAATTTCTAGGTACTAACTCTATTTATAAATACGTGTTAGTTGGAAAACGTTATGTTACATGTTTTACTTCAGTTCCTTATTTCTCCTGTGAAATTGGTTGAACCTGAGAAAGGCTGCAAAGTATGGGAAGGCATGAATTAATTATTGAGTACGTTTTTTCCTGGCAAGCATTCATATTACAGTCCATTAGTTTCAATTTTTATAAATTCACTGCTTAATAAATGTAAAACAGAAATTATTGTGAACAGATATGGCAACATATCATAATCTTTTTTTGTCTTCTCTGATTTTTTATTTTCCTATAAGACTCCTCTTTCTTTCTCTCAAACAGAAAAAAAAAAAATAGAATGCATTTTTTACCTAAGATTGACTGCACAATGTTTATGTATTTTCTTCTTAATTTGCTCTTTTGATTAAAAAAACAAAAACTCAGGCAGGTAGAGTTAGAGTTTTTTATAAACCAAAATTTTACTTTCTAAACATAAGTGCTCTGAGGACAAAGAAATTCTGTACCTCTTCACGGCTTTGTAGGCTCAGTGCTGCTTCAGTACCTGGTATATAGTGTGGATGGTCAGAAATGGCTGTTGAATGAATGAAGACCTGGAAGTATGAATTTAAAATAGGACAAATTCAAGAATCTGCACTGTACTAGCCTTGCTTCTAAAAGAGCAAGTGTGACTCAGCCTTCCTCATTACATTCCTCCTGCCCCATCTCTCCAGGAGTTTTCCACCAATTAAATCCCACCTTTCAAGGGGTGGGACTTGGGAGTGAGGATTGTCAAACTCTCCAGGGACCCTGATGCCTGTAGATTACCATTCCCTCACACTCAGGTTGGAAGTGTTGGGATGACTTTACTCCCTTCCCTTCCAGTGCTGCCTATCACCTCTTCAGTGTCTCCATCTGACCCTTCTTTTCCATTTCCTGCTCCATGAGCATAACAAAAGCTCAGTTACCTAATATATCATTACAGGATCCTAACAAATCTTTCTGTCTCTGGCCTTCCACCTTTCAGTCCATACTACTTACTCCTGCTACTCACATCCAGCTATGAGTGATCATTTTGTTCCCTTCTATAAAATGTCCAATATTGCCCACTGCCAAAGGAGGAACTTCAGAACATCATTCACTGTCCTCCACAACCTACCTCTAGATCTCTTATTCTTATACTTGATTTTTTTTTTTTTGTACCAGGGATTGAACTTGGGAACTTGCGCTTGCAAGGCAGACGGTGGAACCACTGAGCTAAATCCCCAGTCCTAGATCTCTTATTCTTAATTCTCTTCCTCTCCTAAAAAACAAAAACAACAACAACAACAACAACAAAAAAACACCTCTGGACCGGCTTTCTGGTCTACCCCATTTCGTGCGTGTGACCTGGACTTCACTTCCTGCTTTGTGCTGGGGATTTTGCTCATGTATTCTCTCCTACCTGCATCCATCAAGTTACTATCTGTTACTCAAAATTTTTGCAAAGCATTTACTTTCCAGAATTTACTAGGCGCACCAAACAGAATATCCCTGGCAGTGGCTTAAACCAAAGGTTTTTTTCTATTTTGTTTCCTCACAGAAGAAGCCTGGGAAGAGGGCTTATTTAGTAGCTTGAAGATGTCATCAAGGGCTAGACTATTTCTCTTTCTCCACTGAATCATCAATATTAGTCTGCCAGAGCTGCCATGACTGGGTACTACAAACTGGGTGGCTTCAACAACAGAAATTTATTCTCCCAGTTCTGGAGTTTAGAAGTCTGAGAGCAATAGAACTGTGCCCTATAAATTACAAGTGCATGTAGCCAGGCGCCATGGTATAGGTATGTCATCCCAGCCACTCAGGAGGCTAAGCAGGGGGATTGTGAGCTCCAGGCCACCCTGGGCAACTTAGAGAGATCCTGTCTCAAAATAAAAATATCAAATAAAGATTTAAAAGTACATGCTTGTACAATATACAAATGGGGAGACGGCAAGGCACTTCAACAAAAGCTCCCACTCAGGAATTGGGATACTTACTACCCAGCATATGACAGCACACAGCCAATCTAGATCTCCCCCCACTTTCTCGAAGGACTTTCCCCATCTTTGATGCTCTTAAGACCACAGCTGACAGCCCAGATCCTTCTAGCACCACCCAGTAGCAGCAGTCCATTTCTTAGTGGTTATCATTTGCTTTACGAGTTAAATAGTCACAGACTATTGGTTTGTTTATTTGGATGCTAGAGGGTTTTTTGTTTGTTTTTGATGTTTTTGGTACCAAGCATCGAACTCAGGACCTTGCACTTTCGAGGCAGGCGCGGTGCCACTGAGCTAAATCACTGGCCCGTAATTTAAGAATGTAATTGGTTTTTGTTGTGTTTGTTTTGCAATTCCATGCCAAGGAGCCTGCCTGCTGGCCTGGTGTGCTTCCTGTGTCCTTACTTAGCCCCGAGTTTACAAGGCTTTGCTGCAAGGCAGTTGGAAACTGTGCCCCCTTCGGTAGACATCGTCTTTGAGAAACTTTTGTTGGTAGGCTCAACCTCTTTGTCATGGAAAACTGACAGAGAGGTATTCAGGTCTAAAGTAGAGCCCTCATTAAATCAGTTATGTCCCTTTTAAAATCTAGCTTTCATACCACCGCCTGTTTCCCAAACTTATCCTCATGATAAGGCTTTCATCCCATTTAGACTGTGTGTTATAAGCTCTTTTAACAAATCAGTATTTTCATCACTGTCTTCAGGCCTGACCCTTATCCATGTGAGCTGAATAGGGGAAGACCCCTATAGTACCCACTCTTGACCAAGAGAAGCCAGGAGACATGTAAGAAAAGTTCACCTTAAGTACAGAAGTAACTTTGTTCAGATAGGGGCGTGTGTGCACACACACACCCCCACACACATATGCACGTGTGCATGAAATAAAATCTTTCTTTTTTAAAAAAAAAGTCCGTGTCTCACAGTAGGAAAACCAAGGAATTCATATCCTCTGGTCATACCAATAATTTCCAAGGAATTGCGGTCACCAGTAGTTTTGAAGGAGTCAACTTCCAGATTCCTTGCTTCCATCTATCAACTTCTTTCTTCAGAATAATCACTGGCCCTGATTGTTTGCAGATTCTTTCTTTGCACAATAAACTTTCTCCCACTTCAGAAAGAAAAACATACTCCCTTCTTATTCTTAGTTTGCTATTTAGTATAAAATCATCTTGAGTTCCAAAGAGACAGATATTGCAAATACCATACTAGTATTGCTCAGTGTTGATAGTCGATGACCACAGTAACAAAGCATTTTCTAAGCTGGGTAGTGGTCTCTGATTCAATTCTTGTAGCGTCTGGCACATTAGTAAAAATATTCAATCTAGAAATCATTGTGTGACTTTGGCACAAAACTTAAGAAGTTCAGCTAATCAAGTGACTGGCTGTTGTAACTAACCTCCTTTTATTTCCACTTAGCAATTTGTGCAACAGGATTTCTGAGCACTCAAATCTATAAAAATGAAAGATAGGGATAGATTTGATGCAAAAAGTCTTGTATTTTACAGTACATACAAGAAATAAATTTGGAGAAAAGCTTGTTAATGATGTTTTTCTAATAAAATTTTATTTTTTATGTTTAGCATTATCAAAATCTAGTTCTGCTGTTTAATTATTTAAATATAATTGGTAGCTATTGTAGACCTTAATAACTAATTGTTACCAACTACCAGCAACTGTTGTTAGCATTGATAACCTTTCAAAGTAATTTTTAGCTAAATAGTTTTACAATCACAGATTTTTTAAACTTTTGTGTATTTGTATATATACATGTATTTTTGTATAGAAGAATATGATAGGTAACTAATAAAGGCTTTGGAGCATCAAAATATATTAGTATAAATTCTTTGAGGAAGTGAATCAGAAATAAGAGTTTAAGGAAAAAAATTAACTGTGTAAAATTTCCAACTTTTAAAAAAGAGTGTATACTGTTTCTGCTTTTATATAAATGATGGTGAATATAAAATCCATAGTACTTTGATTCCAAAGTACATATTTAAAATAGTGGCGTAATAGTTTCATTTTAAAATATAATTGTATATAATCAGTAGAAAATTAAATCCTTTACAAATATTTACATTTGTGTTGAAAATTCTCTAGATGTCTTCATAAAAATGAGAACAATTTCTTAACTTATAAATCCCACTGTTTATAATGTATTTGAAACCTGTAAACCCCACTGTTACTTAGAATGCTTTCAGAAAAGAAGTACGGGAATATTCTACAAACCGCAGTGAGGTTGACCTATGTAACCGGAAACCCGCAAGTGGCAGTCTGAGGAGACGCAGGAGGCATTGACAGTGTCTGCCGTGACTTCCTCT